TATATATAAACGTATGTTTGCTTGTCCTGCATGTTTTACCACACCGTTCGTCCGATTAAAGTTGGATCTTAGAAGGTTGTTGAGAGAGCTTCCGCAAAGGTTTTTAGTTTAATACAGGTATGTATTATGGCCAAGATGCAGTGTAAACTAAAAAATTTAATAATTGCAAGAAATATGAATTTAATAACAATTTCTTGTATGATACGGTTCATTTATGTACATGATTCGAATTATTGAAAAAAAAAGTTCATACATAGAAACTTTGTAACTTTAAATTATTTAAAATATTTTTATTATTTCTGGCTACATTAAATGATTTGACGTGGTCATAAATAACAGTACAGCACGAATGAACAAAAGAATCGATAAGAGGTGTATTGTGTTTAGCCGAAGTGTACCACAAGATCGGTAATTTTAGAATAGTCCAATATTAGCGCCAAATAGGCAACTTTAAGAAAAGTGCTCAGACGATCAACTTCAGTGCTATGTGACAGGGTCAGTGCTGTAAGACACAGGAGTTAAGATGAAGGGTATCGACAAAACTTAAAGTAAAAGTGAAAAGAGATAAGTATATCAAGTACGAATGGAGACTAGTATGTCATGTTTACAGTTTCGTGCCTTTTACGTTACATTACATGTTTTAATTTATGTAATTAATTACATTTTATCTGACCACTGAGAAAGAGGGTATTTCATCAGAATGCCTATAGTATAATTTGACACTGGTCTACGTCTATTTGAAGATTTTTTTTTTTTTTAATACGTTGTACGACGGTCAGCAAAAAAAATTATAACTAAGGACATTAATTATTGTTGGCTTTAGATTCTATTAAATGCATTTGTCCGTTAAAAATACCTCGATACCAGGCTTACTTAAAGTTTAAATAGAAATTATAATACTTTTCAGAATTTTTTTCCCCTCCTTAAGATTTTAAATACGTGTAGGCACGCCTGCGAGCTAATATACTTGGAGTAGTAGAGTAGAAACATAGGTAGAGTATGTTCGATGTAAGCGAAAAAGAAGTGAGCAGAAATTAGTCCCAGTGTTAAATACGTTCACATTCTAATATGTATACTAGTGGGGCTTTGCCCCTTTGCACACTTCGCGTGCCAATCCCCAAGAGTATTTGTCATTTAAGCTTTTCCAAGTGATAAAAAATGTATTTACATAGAACATGTATTTGTGTAATGTGACAAAGTTCTGGCTTGAAAAACGTGTAATAGTAAGAAACTGTTTGCATGTATTTCTCATTTTTATAACTTTTCTAGATCCCAATATTTCTTTTGTCATAGTATGTAGAAGCATTATTTGATGCAATTTATTTGTAAATATAACAATATAATGTTAACCAACGCATTGTCATTTGTCATTCTCCCACATTTAACGATGTGCCTTATATGAAGAATTCTCTCTCCCTCGATAAATTTTCTAGTCGATATAGATTGGAAATTAGATTTTGAATTCATATATTTTTTTACCTGTGTATACGTGTTTTTAATTTTTTTTTAACCTTTAAAGGACTGAACTATTTTTATTTCACAATACTCTATTTAAAATAAAAATAATTATAAAACTCTCTTATAAACATGTTTATGTTTTAAAGCAAAATAAACATTTAATGATTCACTAGCCCAGCTTTGTAAGTTGGCTCATAATATTGAACTACTACAAAAGGGCGATACTACCATGGTTTGAATTATTGCACAACAAAGTGGAACATAATTTTATGTGTGTTTTAGTACCATCTCATGCAAAGACATAAAAAATTAAAATTTTTTTTACAACGTATGATTAATATTTAAAAAAGTCCATCTTATTAAGAACTTGATACTTTTTAGAAATTAAAATGTAGTTAAAATGAACTGATTTGTAATCTTACTCTTAGCGATATAGATGCGAAAACTATTAACTGTTTGTATACAGTCCATCTATTTGCATCCTAGGCGATTTTAAAAAACAGTTAAAGATAAGTATTTAAAAGCAAACATATAAGTATACTTAACATCAGTGATGGAAGTTAGGGTTTCGTGATAAAAAAAAATGTAAATCAAACTAACGGAAAAAAGACTGAACTTTTTCTTATTTTTGTTATGTCTCTTACTGTGTATACTCACTGTAAATTTATTGTCATACATATCATAAATTTTTAATTTGAGAAAATCCTGAAGAAAGCCTCTGCCTTATACGATAACTTTGTATTAGCCTCCTTAAAAAGAAACATGTTGATCTGTTTGAACTTTTTTTATAAATACATATGTAAATAGTTCTAAAATATTACACAAGTCTAATAAAGAAGTCCTAATTTAAGGACATATTAAATTATATTTTTATCTGGAAATCTTTAATATTTTTTATAAAATAAATATATGAATCATCTTTTGACTAAAAGTGATGTAATTGTTTAATACATAATAAGATGAATTTTTTCCCAATACATGTATTTATCTAAAAATGATTTTTGTATCATTTTCACCTGTACGAAATTCGTTTACTTCCTCAGTAAATATTAGTATATAATGTTACAAGCAAGTACTGTACACTTACATACTACATTGATTAGTTAATTTATTTTCAAAATGTATACGTTAACATGATACAACTACTCTAATTCCAAATAGTGATAGGAAATTTTCGTTTCATCGTAGTTTGGCAATTGAATAATTTAAAAGACGACATAAAACGTAAATA